TCTTATTTTTTGTGTAAAAATATTGAGGGGATTCACAAATTAAGAATTTTGTAAATTATTGTAAATTCTACAAGGGCAAAAACATCTAAATACCGGAATTATAAATTTAACTAAACGAACCTTTTACATTGAATATATCAAATGATTACATGAATGTTCTTTAATGAATGAATAATGAATTGTTAATTGATTCATTCCTTCTTTTCAACCTTTTTGTAAATTTGATATTTTGGGCTCTTGTTACCCTTTACAAGGTTCTTAATAAGAAAATTAAAGAAATCTCTAGTAAAAGATATTTTTTATCTACCCATAAAATTCATCAAAAAAATTATAATAACTATTCTACATACATTAAAAAAATGTCTGTAAAATTTAGTTTTGTAAAACCAATTTTTTTTCTTTACTTGATCTTAAAATTGTGTTTTGCAAGAAATTTAATTGATTGATGAAGACTTTATAGGTCCGGTCGTTTCAAAAGAAGGTAATTAACATATAATAATTGTGAGATTGGAATTGGTGGTATTTGAATAGTTTTTAGAACACGATTTGTGGAGGATCTTCTATTGCAGGTGGCTATGAAGGATTTAATTATCAAATTTTGATTTTTAAAACATTTGAGCTGCCTCCGCATTTTTAAATTATAATCAGATTTAAATTTTGGAGGTTTTGTAACACATTATCTATATAGGATTGATTAATGGGAAATTAATGATGAATTTTCTGTATATGTTGATCATGTTCGAGTTCATAAATATATATACTCAAGTATCGATAGTTCAACGAATATTTGTGGTTCTAATGATTATGATTCAGTGATTTAATTTGATAGAATAGTGGATCATTTTAGTACTTCATCAACAATAATGATGACAACTGTAAATGGCGGATGGTGGGGTATTTCAGAATATCGACTATATGCTATTAAATGTTCTTTTGGGTGCAATTCCTGCAATTAATATAATTGTTTTAAATAAGCTTTATTTTTGGAAATATTTAATAAAAAGTGGTTTAATATTGAAAATTGGGAAGGATGGTATCATAATGGTAATTTGGTTATAGAAAAAAAGGGTTTGTGTGGTAATTATTAAAATAAAAGAATTAATAGGGTTCAATAGCCTAATTTCTCCTGGTGATTATCTGACAAATTCGTTCATTTTAGGGAATCATTTTGCAATCAGTTTATATTTAAAAGTGGCAATTTACAATACTATCACTTCTAGGGTTGATGTAGAAATTGATGACAATATAGTATCTACTTCTTAATTGAATCACTAAGTACCAACATATAGAGATGATACCTGCGGTAGAGTACTAATCTTGCACTAGATAAATATATATTAATTAGAACATACAAATAATGTTTTAACAATTAAAATAAAAGTAGATTTATCAAATTATTATCATTATTCTGTAAATTTTGGAATAAGAGACTTTTAATTATTTATTAAGCCTGATTAAGATATGTGTTTAGATTCAAACATTAATCCATTTGATGGATGTTTTTCTTCATAGTTTAGTTGTATTGAAGGGTGTAGTAATTGTATAAAGGGAATCTGCTTTTAATGTTAAGACGGATGGGAATATATAACATCAATAAAACATTGTGTTCCTAAATGTGGAGACTCAATAATAAATTAATATGAAGAGTGTGATGATGGGAATTTAATTTCTTATGATGGATGTCATCTCTGTTAATTTTAATGTCCTCAAGATTGTTTAAATTGTTAATTTGGTAAATGCTTAGAATATTAACAATCAATAATATTGATTAAAAATTATTGTATCTTTAATACACAAAACTTGAATGAGTATAAATTAAAAGAGGATAAAAGCTTTGATCACTATTTTATCAATTTTATTGATTAAAGTTATAAAACAGCTTGATTTCTTTAGATTCCATAATTAAAATAACATCAAAATTTAAAACTGCGATTTATAATTATTTGGATAATGCTTGAAATGTTAACACTTTTATTAATTGAGTATTAACAAATAAAAATGCATCCCTAATTGTAATGATGGGATCAAACTATATGATGAGATTTGTGATGATAACAATAACATTCAATTTGATGGTTGTTATAAATGTTAGGAAAGTTGTTAACTAGAATGTTTAACCTGTATACAAGCATAGTGTTATGAATGTAAAGATGGGTGGCAACTTGTGGATTATAAATGCAAATTTGAATGTGATAAGAATTGCTTTTTATGTGCAACTAATGACCTTTGTTTTCAGTGTCTAGATCATTTTGAAGAGATAAAAGGTAAGTGTATCCCTATATGTGGTGATGAATATGTCGTTCCCGGTTTAGAGGAATGTGATGATAACAATTAGATCCCATTTGATGGGTGCTACTAATGTAACTTTTAATGCGACGAAAAATGTGGTAAATGTAATTAGGGAAATTGTATAGAATGTTAGGAAGGATATGAAATAGATTATAATAAAAAATGTTTATTTATCATTTCAGAATATATGGAAGATGGAAAAAGAGAATAAATTTATGAATAATAAATTAAATGTGGAGATACAATAAAGCAAGAAAATGAAGGATGTGATGATGGAAATGACATCAGTTACGATGGATGTTCGTAAACATGCTAAGTTGAAAATAATTGGTAATGTAACGAAGATTTACCTAATAAATGCTATCGTATTACTTAAATTTTACTTACATATCTTAACCAAACATATGATAAACAATTTGTTAATTTAACATTTAGTCAAAAGGTTAAATGGTAAAGAGCTTCTAGAAATTTTAGTCAAGCAATCTTAACTAAAATAGAAGGGATAGAAAATAAAATATATATTACTCCAGTAACTCCAATTGACATAGACAAACCAAATAATCCAGTTTATTAATTTGAAATCTAAATTTTTAGTTCAAAATCCACACCACCAATCTTGTTTGCAAGTATTTAAGATGGTGTAATAGATGAACACGATTTTAATTTAGTTTTGGCTTCATAAGAATTAAAACTAAAACCAACAATAATGTTATCTAATTCTCAATTAGATACTGCAAATAAATTTTAAACTATGGGAAATTACATAATGATTGGATTAGGATGTTGCAGTGTTTTAATGTTACTCTTAGGTTATCCCTAATCAAGCATAGAAATTTTTGATATACTCTAATTTTAATCGTATTTGCGGTTTATATAGTAAATAAATCATTAAATCTATTCTTTTTTAAATTAAATATAAATTTGGAATTCCCATAAAACATTTAAATTTATTTTGCATCTTCTGATTTCGTAACATTAACACCTGTTCTAGTCAAATTGAATATATTCGATTTTTTTAGTAATTTAATTGGATATGAATACCTTGAAAGTATTGGAAAATTAAAAGAATATCAACTTAATGCAGATTTAATAACGAATATTTATGGATTAATTACTTAGACAATCTTATTTTTTGGGATTTTCATATTTCATATTGTTTATAAGAAATTCTTTTTTCATAAATGCTTTTCAATCAAACTATTAAAGTATATTAGAACAACTAAATCATCAGTTGTTGAATCTCTAGCCATAAAATTCTATAAATTAAATAAGTTATTTTTACAACTAAGTAATCTTTACATAAAATAAGGATTTTTTCAATTATTTTATGCTAACAGTTGGGATTTGCTTTTTAAAGTTATATTATATTCTGTTTCAATTACATAATCAGACTATAGATCTTTGATCTCTAATTGTATCTGTATAGGCTACATTTTATTAATATTTATTCTATTGACTTAACACTTTAAAAGGTAAAATTAGAAAGTTCTTATATTTTAATTAAGGAGTGAATAATATGAAGGTATTGTTCTATTCAAAAAATTTTTATTTCTTAGTGTTCTATTAGGAATGTAATATTATCCCTTATATTAATGTCTTCTACTTGCTGTAATCTTATTTGGCTATTTATTATTTATTACATTAATAAGATTTCAATCATTAAGCTTAGATCTTTTTGTAATCCATATAATGTATGTTCCGGTAATCATATTTACATCACTAAGTCTATTCTATTGCTCTGATTTTTAAAATATATTGGATAATGATGATAAAATTTAATTAGCTTTTTATTAGATAGGTTTTTTAATATTAGGTTTATTGGGGCCTTTAATTAAAAGCTGTATTTAATTTTACCAAAAGATTAAAAACTAAATCTTGCAGATGAGAAAACCACAACCTTTAACGCCAGTTAAAAACATTTTCACCATTGCAAATTAATGAAAATTTAGCTTTTTTAAAATAATTTACGTAATCAAAGTTTAATATTCAGTAAATTATAGTAAAAGTCTTACATATTATAATATATATTCAATAATTCTTTCAATTAAATTAAATTTTAAATTATCAAATTAATTTTGCTGGTTATTAAAAATCAATATAAAATTATGTTAAAATATAATTTTTTTAATCAAAATTAACCAAAGTATTTAAAAATAAATTAATAAATTCTTAACTTTCAAGAAGAATATTTATAAAAAAAAAATTACTAGTGAAGAGGTTAGATTTGAAATGAATCCTAGAATTCTATTAATGTTATTTGCCTTATAATAAGTATTGGTTTAAAATCAATTGTAGGTAATGCAATTGAAGTTCGTGAGAATTTTATTTATTAAAAACTATCAATCTTTTTAAGTTATAAGCTTTCTTGTTAAAGAATCAATCTCCAAAAGTTTATCCTTTCTTTAAAAATGAAATTTATAATTCTCCTTCTAAAAATTAATATTTAGACATTTATTTAAAAATAATTAATAATTCAATAATGTAATTTGGTTTTTAGTAAAATAAAAAATTATTTTTTTAAATATTAAATTTCCCTCGAATATATCTTTCTTTAGCTTCTTGATCAGCTTTAATCTAAGCTTCTTTCTCAGCTTTAATATAAAGATTTAATTAAAATTCTTCGGACAAAATCTCTTTCATTTAAAAAAATATTTTTTCATTAAAAGCCTTAATTTCTGATCCCAATGCATTCTTTAACTTTTATAACTTTATCAAATTAAAGTTTTTTTCAGCATTCCATTAATTACATTTGTTCTTCCCTTCAAGCATTTGTACTAATATCTCTAAGTGAAAATTTGACAATTCTGCTGGATTTTTCTTATTGTTAATGATGGACATATATTTTTTATCTGAGAATTCAATCAGATCATAAATTTATTTGAATGATTCTTATAAATTCTCGCAAATTATCTTCATCGTACTTTCTAATTTTAAATCTATTCTCTGTTAGGTAAATTCTTGTGCCTCAGAAAATTTTGATTCTTTTTAGATATTTGCCATCGTTTCTTGAAATATTTTAATCGAAACTGTTTGTTTGAATATATCCACTCTCCATGGTTATAAAGGCAATCAACACAAAGTTTCCCTTGTGAGGAGCAATACATATGGAATAATAGATAAGAAATGATCAGTTTTAAATTTGAAACTGGAGAAAATGTAAGTATTGTAGCAATTTAACCATAATTTTAATTTGTATTTTATCTATCCTAAATTTTTATTGTCGAATCCCAAGAACCACTTATAAATCTTGATGAATTTATAAAACTTATTGCATTCACTGATTTATTGTGAGCTTTATCAATCCTACAACATCTCCATTTCTCATTAATCAAACTCCATCTTGAAATCGAGTGATCAATACAACCAGTTATCATACACAACGTTATTTTTGGACAATCTACTATCGTTTATCCCTTTTAGCATTTATTTTATCCATTCTAATACCATTCAATAATATTTGTATCCATACTACCACTAGTGAATATATTTTCAGTTTTATTTAAACAAAAACATATCATAGAATCTTAATGACCTTCCAAAGTCTAATCATAATATAAGCCATCTTGTACTATTCTCCATATCTTTAGAGTATTATCTTCACTCTTACTAATACAAAAATTTGAAAGATTAGATGATTTCAAACAAGTCACTGTTAAGGACTTATATACTCGTATTTTAAACTAATATTATTATCATCATTTCATTACTATCAAATTTAAATTTATAACAGCCTAGTATTAATATTTAAAGTTAATTGTGATAATCTATACGTTTTATATTTTCAGTATTGTCCAACTATTACTTTAAAATATATTCACCATCCACTTTTGTAAAGATATCTTTTGGAAAATTAGAATATATTCACATAAGGAATAATCTTATGAAGACTTTATGAAATTTCCTTTAGTCTTGAATTATAGTGGCAGGTTGCTTAAAAATATTTTAAAACACATGCGTTTTGATTTAAAAATGGCATTACACTACTA